AATCATCAAGAATATAGACAACATGATGAACATTATCAACCACCTTGACTTAAATGTCATATATGGAAGCGGTCACCCAATGAATGCATAATACATTTTTTAAATTCATATGAAAAATTTTGGACATATAATATTTTAAGCTATAAAAGTGTCAATAAATTTAAAAGACTGAAACAATAAAGTACATATTTTCTGATTAGAAAAGAACTAAATTTAAAATACCCAGCAGATGAAATAGTGGAGAAATCACCAATTGTTGGTAAATTAAACAACACAGTTTCAAATATTCCAAGGATTAAGAAAAAATCACAAAGAATATTTGAAAATAAGGTAAATCAGATCAAAATAACAGGTGAATAATCTAAAAGCATGAAATATAGACAAAATATTAGACATATATCTTTAAAAACTGTAACAGAAAAGATTGTATCAAATCAGTGGAATAAATTCTCACATTAAGAAACTAGAAAAAGAAGAGCAAATTAAACACAAGACACTCATGTACACCTGTGCATTTACACATCTTAAAAGGGAAGATGTAATTTCCCTTACATCTTAAAGGGAAACTATGTGAGAGAAAAATCAGTTATATAGAAAGGTCAAAAACATGTAAATCAATAAGACAATAAAGTTCATCCTTTTATTAATTGTAATATATTGATTACACTATTACAATTTTGTCTCATTTTTTCTCCCCCTTATTTCCCTCTACTCTGCACACCCCCTCTCGCCATCCTTCACTCATCTTATTTCATGTCCATGGGTCATACATGGAAGTTCTTTGGCTTCTCCCTTTCTGATACCATTCTTAACCTCCTCCTGTCTATTTTGTACCTACAATTTATGCTTCTTACACCCTGTACCTTTTCCCCATTCTCCTCCCTCCCCCTCCCAGCTGATAACCCTCCATGTGATCTCCATTTCTATGATTCTATTCCTGTTCTAGTTGTTCACTTAGTTTTTTTGTTGGTTCAGTTGTTGATAGTTGTTGAGTTTGTTGTCATTTTACTGTTCATAGTTTTGATCTTCTTTTTCTTAGATAAATCCCTTTAACATTTCATATAGTAAGGCCTTGGTGATGATGAGCTCCTTGAACTTGACCTTATCTGGGAAGCACTTTATCTACCCTTCCATTCTAAATGGTAGCTTTGCTGGATAGAGCAATCTTGGATGTAGGTCCTTACCTTTCATGCTTTCATTCCTTGCTGGAATACTTCTTTCCAACCCCTTCTTGCCTGTAAGGTCTCTTTTGAGAAATCAGCTGATAGTCTAATGGGGATTCCTTTGTAGGTAACTGTCTCCTTTTCTTTTGCTGCTTTTAAGATTCTCTCCTTGTATTTAATCTTGGGTAACATAATGATGATGTGCCTTGGTGTCTGCTTCCTTGGGTCCAAATTTTTGGTTCTCTCTGAGCTTCCTGGACTTCTTGAAAGTCTATTTCTTTTGCCGTATTAGGGAAGTTATCCTTCATTATGTTTTCAAATAGTTTTCAATTTCTTGTCCTTCCTCTTTTTTTTCTGGCACCCCTATGATTCAGATGTTGGAACATTTAAAGTTGTCCAGGAGAATTCTAAGCCTCTCCTCATGTTTTTGAATTCTTGTTTCTTCATTTTGCTTGAGTTGAATGTTTATTTTTCCCTTCTGTTCCAAACTGTTGACTTGAGTCTGGTTTCCTTCCCTTCACTGTTGGTTCCCTGTACATTTTCCTTTATTTCACTTCACATAATCTTCACTTTTTTCTCTATTTTGTGACCATACTCAACCATTTCTGTGAGCACCCTGATTACCAATGTTTTGAAATCTGCATCTGATAGGTTGGCTATCTCTTCACCACTTTATTGTATTTTTTTCTGGATCTGATCTGTTCTTTCATTTGGGCCATATATATATTGTCTCAGCACACCTGTTATGTAGCTGGGGCAGAGCCTTAGGTATTTGCTAGGGCAGGGCAACCCATGTCTCTGTGTTGTGGCCTTGTACATGGGGGAGGGGTCTAAGAAGGAACAATGCCACTTGCTCAGCTCTCTGCCAGCTTTCAGTCACTTCCTCCACTATCCACAAGTAAATTGGGCCCTTCTGGTGCTGAATCCTGGGTGGATGGGTTTGTGTATGTTCTAAGACTGTGGGTCTCTCCAACGAAGTCTCCTGTGAAGCTGAAAGTTTCGCTTGCTGCCTCAACTCCCACAAATTTTTTCAGCCAGAGGTTTTGAGGTTTCATTTCGCCATGCTGGAACCCTGAGTTGTGCAGTCTGTCTTGCTCCCCAGTTGTCTCTCCTGGTTTATCCACATGTGAATGTGGGACCACCCATCTGCTAGCTGCCACCTCACCCACCTGGTCCTCCCCATGCCACCTTGCCATGAGTCCTCTCAATTGCCGCTGCCTGTCTCTGCCCCTCCTACCAATCTGAATGAACGTTTCTTCTTTAATTCCTTGGTTGTCAGGCTTCCATACAGCTCCATTTTCCGTCAGTTTTGTTTGTTTTTCTGTTTCTAAATTTGTTGTTCTCCTTCTTTTGCTTGTTTGAGGAGGCAAAGTGTATCCACCTATGCTTCCTTCTTGGCCAGAAGTCTCCCTCCTTGCACTTCCTAATCCCCTCACCTCTTCACCCATTCTCCCCATCCAACCTCCTATCCAACAACCTTTAAAATATTCTCCATGTCCATGATTCTGTCTCTGTTATCCTTGTTTGCTTAGTTTCTTTTTTAAAGTCAATTGTTGATAGATAAATATTTATTGCCATTTTATTGTTCATATGTTTATCTTCTTTTTTCTTAAATACGCCCTTTTAACATTTTGTATAATAACGGTTTAGTAATGATAAACCCCTGTAGGTTTTTGTTTTGGTTTGTTTTATCTGAGAAGCTCTTTACCTTCCCTTTGATTCTAAATGATATCTTTCCTGGGTAGAACTATCTTGGCTGTAGGTTACTGCTTCTCATGACTTTGAATATTTCTTGCCAATCCCTTCTAGCCTAAAAAATTTGAGAAATCAGCTGATAGTCTTATGGGAACTTCCCTGCGGGTAACTAAGTTATTTTCTCTTTCTGCTTTTAAGATTCTTTCTTTATAGTTCACTTTTGGCATTTGAATTATGCTGGGTCTTAGAGTGAGGCTCATTGCATCTGTCATGTTTGGGACTCTGTGCTTCCTGGACTTGCGTGTCTTTTCCTTCACCAAATTAGGCAAGTTTTCTTGCATTATTTTTTCACATAGATTTCTAATTTCTTGCTCTCTCTCTCTCTTTCTGGCACCCCTATGGTGTGAATATTGGACCTCTTGAAGTTGTCCCAGGGGCTGCTTATACTATCTTAATTTGGGGGGGATTATTTTTTTCTTCTGGTTTTTCTGATGGGCTGTATTTTGCTTCCTTATTTTCATAATCATTGATTTGATTCTTGGTTTCATCCACTCTATTGTTGTTTCTCTATAAATTGTTCTTTATTTCAATTAGCAAATCCTTTGTTTGTGACTGGATCATTCTTATGCTATTGAGGTCCTCACTAAGTTCCTTGAGCATCCTCATAACCAGTGTTTTAAACTGTGTATCTAATAGATTGCTTACCTCCATTTTGTTTAGCTCTTTTTCTAGAATTTTGATCTGTTCTTGTATTTGGCCATTTTCTTTATCTCTTCATTTTGGTGGCCTCCCTGTATTTATTTCTATGTATTAAGTAGAGCTGCTTTGATTTTGTGTCTTGGTAACATGGCTTAATGTAGTAGGTGTCCTGTAGGGTTCAGTGGCACAGCTTCCCATCACTGAAGCTTAGTACTAGATGTGCACCCTTCATGTGAGCTGAGTACACCCTCCTCTTGTAGTTCAGACTTGGTTGCTGTTGGCATATCCGTGGAAGGGGTTTAGCCAGGCCAGTCAGCTGCAAGGACTGGCTGTGACCTCTGACCACCAACCTCCACCCTCCATGGAAGACCAGCTGTGCAGGAACAGAATGGTGGTGCTCCAACATGGTCTGTAGCTATCCACTGGGCTCACTGACCCTGGTGTTTCCTGGGTAATGCAGGCCAAGTTCAGGCCCCATTTGTGTTTTTCTTGGAGCACTCTGTAGAGGCTATAAAGCAATCTGAGATGCATGTTACTTGTGCTGGGCTTGGAGATTCCCAGGCAAAGCCAAGCTATGAATCTGAGCTGGCTGCTGCTAGTGCTGGGCCCTGGGCCTGGTCCTGACTAAAGACAGCTGTTGCTTGTTTGATAGGATTTAGGAAACTGTGAAGCACAAGCCAAGACCAGCCAATCCTATGTAAAAGCAGCATAGGTGGGCCCATAAATTGCATGGGGTAGAGAGTCTCAGGGGGTCTCTAGGGTGGGTCAATGTTAGCCAGGTTGATGGAGTCTCAGATATGGCACAAGCTTGCCTGCTTTGTGGGGGGAAGGTTTAGAAAAGGGATAATGGCCTTTGCTCACCCTGACGCTAGATACTTCAGTTCCTCTCTTTATGCCACCGGTGCCTTTCAGGCTGCTATCCTGGTGCTGAAGCTCAGAGGGAGTGAGTCTGAGTAGGTGAATCTGTGGGTGGGTTCTTTAAGGGGAACTGCTTGGGACTCCAGAAGTTTCTTCCATGGAATCAATCCCCACTTGTTTTTGAAGCCAGAAGTTGTGGGGACTTATCTTCCTGGCACTGGAACCCATGGCTAGAGTCTTGGTGTGGGGCTGGGACTCTGTGCTCCTGAGATATCCCTTCACACATTAAATTTTTATCCTTCACACATTGGTGTGGGACCAGCCCATTCCACATCTGTGCCCCTCCTACCAGTCTGGATGGATGTCATCTTTTTAATTTCATACTTGTCAGACTTCCATTCAACTTGATTTCTGACAGTTTGAGTGATGATTATCATATATTGCAGTTGTAACTTTGATGCAGTTGTGTAAAGAGGCAAGCCATTTCTGCCTACACAGCCATCTTGACTGGAAGTCAAAGTTATTTACTTCTTAAAACAAAGCAAGAGGAATAATATTGAAAGTAAACTAATACATAGTCTTAAAAACATTTATTTCCATCACAGTGACAGGCAAATAAAAAATGAATAGAGCAAACAAAAAATGAATAGACAGCATACTTGATTACTCTTTAGGTACTAAAAATGACAGAAGATATTGAAAACAGTCTTGTTTAATTCACATAATTATACATCAAGTAAATTTCATTACTGTTTTACAAATGGGCAACTGAATCCTATAAAATTTAGATTTTTTTATTAAGGCCCATATGTAGCAAACCAGAATTATAATAAAATTCTCTCTCTCTCAATCTCTCTCTCTCTCTCTCTCTCTCGATCTCACACACACACTCCTATATCATAGGCAGAGCTACAATAATGTGGACAGAAGCACAGAGGTATCTGGCATCTGAAACATGATACTTCAATAAAAACCACCATAGTACCATGAAGGCACAAACCTGTTTCATAAGACACTGGCACAGCTTATATTTCTCAGTCCTTAGTAGAGAAAATGTTTATTAAGTTGAGTTACTTATGTTTGATACTTAATGACATTTTTCTTCTTACAATAGTCCTAATTATGGTGAAATTTTTATACCAAAATTATTTTAAGAATGTACAGTCAATATTCAAGTGTATTATTTAAAGTTATACTGCATGTATTTGGAGACTACAGACTTGAACTCAGACACTCTGAATACAAACCTTCCACTAAATACATATCATTTATGATACTGTCTCCTTCACTCCTTAATGAAGAAGAGACATTGTGGTTGAAGTGACACACCCCTGAGGGCTCATTTTGTAGTGAATGATTTCTATACAAGATCTTGAATAATACACAAATGGTGTTGAAAAGCCTTCCTTATTCTCAGTGGCACAGGAAGTGAGGCTGTAAAAAATGGTAGAGCAGTCACCTTACTGGCTCTTTTAAATGAGCTCATTTTTTTAGCTCATTTAACTGGCTCATTTTTCTTGGGATTAAACAAAATGGTTAAATGAGATTCTCTACTAAGGAAAACAAAATAACGGGAAAAATATGAGATGAGGGAAATTGGACACCCTATTGATGAATGAAGAATATGCAAATGGTAAAAAAGGGGGGACCAACAAGAAAAAGATGGTGAGAATGGTGCAAGTAAGCTTGGTGAGTTAGGTGCACCCAAAAATGTGAGTTAAGGTGTAAGTGGTTTAGGAGCTTGGAGAACACACTGTCATGGGGCCAGTACAATTCATAGGATTGAAATATGGATAAATTTTATGAGAAAAGGAACATGAAAAGAATTTATAGATGAGAAACCCATGGTTTGTAACATTCAAAAATGAGACAGTGCCTGCCTCATAGTCTAAGAAAACCCCAATACAATTGGGAGGAACAGTCAATTTGAGGGTTACTTTTGGGGGACAACTGAACAAAGACTGCTCAAAAGCATTATATTCAAATTGGCTGTTTAATGCTATAACCCAGTAGCCATATTTAGGTTCATAATTTTTACCTTTTTTAACAAAAGGCATATTCCAGTCAGGCCATGTTTCACCACATACCCCCAAGACCCAGGCATGTTTCTGTGACACATCTACCTCCCAGTAATGTTTCCCTGATGTGATAGCTGGTAAACCAAGTACAGCATAAATGTCATAGTTTTCTTTCTGATGAGTATCTTTCTGATTTCTTTTTGCATTGCAATCTAACACACATCTCACTTCTCTCCGATTAGCAGAAATGACAACATTTGATTTTTTCCTGAGAGGATCCAGGGTCATGTGAACTGTGGAAAAATCACAGGGTAGGGTGAGTGATATGATGTAGCTTCATTTGTGCCATTATAGAGGGATCTTGAGAATAACATGAGTGGGAACTGGGATTAACTGAGTTCTATTCTTGGGAAGAGGTATAACACTGCAGAAATATAATATGCATCTGTGTCTTAATACTTGAGACCTAGTACAAATTGTAAAATTCTGAAAGAAGATGAGGACATGGTGGCTTCATGATACTTACCCCAATAGCATCTCATATCTCTTAGCCCTGAAATTATAAAAATCCATAATATTAAACATAAGCAATGGAGTCAGCATTAAAATCTACCTCCTCTCCAGATCAGGGTAAAGACTGAGGTCTATGAGAGGTAATATACAGAAAGGTGAACAAGACAGCTGGTCACTCTCCATTAGCTATGACTGAATCCTCAGCACATGATATCCATCCTCCATTGTCACCTCTATTCACACCTAGAAACTGAACTCTCCTCCCTCTTTAACTCCCACCATTACCAGACCCCCACAGCTATCCACTGATACTGGCATTCCTCACCATTAAACACTTGCAGCATCTCACTCAGGTCAGGAACTTGGAACACTCTCCTTTGATTCTTAGAGACAGTTTTTGGCTTCTTCAGAGTGAAGGTCTTACTCCTAGGGATGACAAAAAAAGATCCCCAAACCTCTGACTTTTTGTCTTTCCAAAACTCTGATTTCTGTCTATTCATCCATTAAGCATTTAAGGCCCCTCCCACAGAGACCCTGAGAAAGGAGAGAGGAGATTCCTGACTTTGGAGTCAAAGGAATGTGCTCATGTCCAAATTTATTACACTCTGTGTAATCTTAGGAAGGCCTTGACCTCTCAGAAGCACAGTTTATTCCTTCCAAAGTGATAATTAACCTATACCTCTCTGCCTCCTGGAATCATATAACATTATATATAATGAAATTTTTTTAAAGATTTTATGTATTTACTTCTTGAAGAGAGGGAAAAAGAGGGAGAAAGAGAAGGAAAGATCAATGTGTGAAAAATACATCACTTAGTTGCCTTTCACATGTCCCCACATGGGGAACCTGCCCCACAACCCAGGCATGTGCCCTGACAGGGATCAAATCTACAACCTTTTGGTTCACAGGCCAGTGCTCAATCCACTAAGCCCTATATAGGGCCTATATATATAGCCCTATACGAGCCAGGGCTATATATAATGAATTTTTTAAAAAATGGTTTCTTGAAACAAGTTAATGTCAGAAAAAGTCACTACAGAAGTGGAAGGATATTATATGAAAATGAAGTTGCATAACCTGGATCCTGGTTGTGTGAGATGTGTCAGGTGTGAAAAATCTGTCTGGAGAGGACCAAGACCTTGAAGGTTTGATCCCAGTTGGGAAGCCCTCAGAATAATGCCTGAGATTTCAGGTTCTCTGGAAAAAAATTGTAACAATTGGAAATGAAGTCATTATGATTATTACACTAATATTGGTCTGAATTTCATTTCTTTTAAGAGCTTGATACAGCAGAGTATGTGTGTAAATTTAGATAAAAAGGTACAGCCCTTTCATTCTGACTCCAAAAGTTCATAGTCAAGAGGGATCAATTGTTTGCACCAGAGGCAAAATATTCTTTGCAACTCAAGTCTATTTTTGGAAAATAAAGAGAACCATATAGAAGGACTAAGTCTCTCCTATTCAGGGCAGACATTTAAGTATAAACGAGTTATCACCAATTCTGGGTGGTTGGTAGGTAAAGAAGACACAACACTACCCACAACCGATCAAGTAGCTATGAAGTACTCAGTTAAATAAGGCATGCTGTGTGAATAAAATTTATAAAATTACATGGATCCGATACTGTAATATCTTATCCCTAACTGCTTCTGACCCAAATTCTGCAACTTTCCCCACCTAAATTCCCTATCATAGAAAATGTGGTCCATTCTCAATAGTTAGAAAACACACAAACCATGATATGAGAACAGAAATTTAAGATAAAACTACACACAAATTTTCCTGCTTTTAGCAATATTTTATTCTAATTAACCACCAGATAACTTTAAGATCTTTAAACCTCTTTTGACCATCTCTAGTCTCCAAAACATACCTTTCCATAATGCCATTCACATCCTAGGGAGAAAAGAGAAGAAGACATGAATCAAGAAATCATAAGCCTTCTCCACTTACAAAGCTTCATCTCATCCCTCCATCTTCCAGTGTGGTGGGAATAAAGATGGTCCCAATGTGAGAACCAAAGAGAAAAGACAAAACACAGGTCAATTAGTACAGAAGATTCATGTGAAGTTGTCAGGTTTCCTACAATATAGAAAGAACTTTGACACTTCTGGAAGCACAGCATGATCTTCCAGCACCTTGAGATAAGATGTATTGAGGAGGAAAATATGAGACCCTTGATATTTTCTCCACAATCATAGGGTATTAATGAGAAGATTTGAATAATTAATGGTCTGTTTATTTATTCAACATAAATGTAAAGTAACATATTACTACTTGTCAAGCATTATGCCATAATTAGGAGAATCAAAGATGAGTAGTTGTAATATTCCTCAAGAAGTTTACATGACTTCTGCTGAGGGTACAAGCAAACAAATGCATTAATGTAGGCTTTTCTCAAGTCTCTCCTCATTTTATACACTATCCATAACTGGCCATATCTACTACCTAAATTCAATATGTGTAATTGATTTCCAAGTTTTATTTTTTATTCAATTTTTCTCTTAAATGCAGTTTAGTATATTCCTTAGTAAAGAAGTCACAAGAATCAGTAACTATAGATGTTGCATGTAACTTACTCTTTACAAACCAAATCTTATCCTCCCTTATACCCCTTTGTCCATATTATCAATATGCACTCAATCACTGTCTTAACCATAATATTTACCTGAATTTCAGTCTCACTGAGCCAGTTTAGTACACATCATTAATAGCTTTTAGTCATCTGAACTTCTTTATCATCACAGATTTATTTTTTGACTATATATGACCATATATTTGGTCTCCTCTACCTCAGACTAAAATCTTCCATAACAGCAAAAACTAGGCAAACTTCTGGGTTTATGCACACACACACACACATATTGCTTTGCTCTCTGTATTAGGGCTTTGTTGCTGTATATGACAAAAATTTTTTAAAAATAATAAAAATAAAAATAAAAAGCAGCCCTGGCTGGTGTGGATCAGTAGATTGAGTGCCAGCCTGAGAAACAAAGGGTCGCTGGTTTGATAACCAGTCTAGCTTTATCCTGGGTTGAAGGCCAGGTCCCCAGCAGGGGGGATGTGAGAAACAACCATACATTGATGTTTCTCTTCCTCTCTTTCTCCCTCCTTTCCCTTCTCTAAAAATAAGTAAATAAAATCTTTAAAAAAACAATTAAAAGTAGATCTAGTACAAAAAAGAATTTGTAGGACAGTTGTAACTTTAATCAAAGCTTAATTTTGAAGCTCAAACATTGTCTTCAGGATCTGGTCTATGTCATTTTCCAAAGTCTGTTTATGCTTCTATGTTGACTTTATCCTCAGTTCATGAAGAAAATATGAATCTCTTTTTTTTGGAATTCATTTGTCTTCCCAGTTGCATCAAATAATTCTGAGGCCCAAGTGACACTGGCCTGCAATGATTAAAGTACCCATGTTGAAGAATCACTGTGTTGTTGCTATAATATAGAAAGCAATGCTGGAGGTGAGTATCCATATTTTACTGAAATTAATTTAGTATTAAACTGAAGTCAATGGTGATATAATAGGATGCTTATTATAACTAGAAAAGCAACCACCACAAAAATAGAAAATAGTACATCTTAAAATTCTATGCTAGAAATAACTGTTTAACTGGAAAGAAGCTAGTCAATGAGAAAGAACCATGAAAATTTCAGGTGACATATAGAAGCAAATAACACAATCTAAATTAAATAGAGCTACATTGACAATTGCATTAAATGTTGTTGTGCTAATCAACCAATTAAAAAGCAGAGATTGTTAGAATACATAAAAAGCCATTTCAATTACTGCTGTCTACAAGAGACATGTTTTTGGTTCAAAGACACAAATACGGCATAAGTAAAAAGATAGAATTCCTAGCAAAATGGTGCTATAGGTAAATACTGTTCTAGTCTCCTCCTACAACCACATCACATTTATAAATAAATTATAGAATAATCACCCCTGAGAACCACATCAAGATGAGCTGAACAGAATTCCTATCACTAAGGATATAAAAAAGTAGCTACCTCAAGACTGGTAGGAGGGACACTGACTAACCGGCTGATACCACACCCACATATAGATGTTAACAAATTTGGGAATATTTTGGCTGCAGAGATCCCACCTGAGTAATGAGGAGTTCCATACCCACGTCAAGTTCCTCAGCCAAGAGTACCAGTGGTGGGAAAAGGAATCCCCATAATACCTGGCTCTGAAAACCAGCACAGACTCAGTCCACATGTGATAGAGGGATCCTACACAACTTGGCATCTTCTTAAAGGACCCTAGCACAGAGTCACTTTCTCACAAACACTTGTCCTAAGCTCCAGAGTATGGACAGAAGCTTGCAAAGGCAAAGGACATACAGAGAGAAACTGAATTGACTGGCTTTAGGTTGAGGGCTGGAGGGGAAACTCTCCCAGGGACTAAAGTACCAACAGGTACCATTTTTTCTCTTGTTGAGCCCTGCCACCACATAGCCTACAGGCCCAGGTCAATGCCAAATCTGAGTCTTCACTAAAAAGATTTAAAGTTAAAAAGCTTAAAAATATAAAAATAAAGAAATCATTAAGAATGTAGATGATGAAATGTCCAACAGTATGAACCAGGTTTACCTAACTGTCATCTACAGACCCTGTCACCCAATGAATGCACAACACACTTTTTCAATCAAATTCATGTAATAAATTTTGGGCATGCAATATTTTAGGCAATAAAGCAAGTGCAAATACATTTAATAGATTTAAATACTAAAATACGTTTTCTGACTAGAAAGAAATTAAATATAAAACACACAGCAGAAGAAAAAGTAAAAAAATCACCAAGTGTTTGTAAATTAAAAAAGAGAGTTTTAAATATCCCAGGGATTTACAAAGAAATCACAAAGGAAATTTGAAAATAAGCTAAATTGAATAAAAATAAGAAGTCAGTAACCCAAAAGTGTAGAATAGTTTAAAATGCATTTACATGATTAAAAACTAAAACAGAAAAGATTCTGTCATAGCACTATTCTAAATTTCCACATTAAGAAACTAGAAAGAGAACAGCAAATTAAACACAATAAGCACACATGTGCATACACGCAAATACACACACTTGTCATATACACATGTACACACACAAGGAAACTACATAAGAGAAAAATCAATGATCTAAAAAGGTTAAAAAATAGATAGCTTAATAAAACAATCATTTTTCTACACTTGATCTTAGCCAAAAGGCCAAGAAGCGATAACAACAATCATTTTTCTTATAAAATATCAATAAATTTAAACACACATAAATTACCTGACAAAAATAAGAGAAAATCACCAAAATCAGGAATAAAAGAGGGAAAATTACTATGAGTACTGTAGAAATAAAAGAAATTCTAAGAGATTATAATGACTAACTTCATGTTTACAAATGTGTCAATTTAGAATGGACACATTTCTACAAAGATGTATATTGTAAAAAAAAAATACTGACTCGAAAGAAGAAAGAAAGAAAGAAAGAAAGAAAGAAAGAAAGAAAACCTAATACAAGTTTAAAAAATATCTGAAACATTTCTAAAAAGAAAGGCCCAGAATGAAAAGGTTTCAGTGGTGAATCTATTGAATAATTAAAGAATAAATAATACAAATTGTACACAATTGTATAATCAGACAAATACAGAAAGTGGAGGAAAATCTCAAATCATCTATGAAAAATAAAAACTCTTAGAATAAAGAGGTTTCTGAAAACTGTTCTTAGGCTAGATCACAGATATAGGAGTCTACAGAATATAATTAAAAATAATCGATCTTTTTTCCATAGTCATATCTTTGCACTGCAGTTGATACATTAATAACAATGAGATTTTTCCTTGTTATTCATGTAAACAATTATCCCTATGACCTCTGAAACAGATACAGGAAAAGGTTACTGCAAGACCATGGGAACCTCAGTGTCACTACCAGAAACAGCACAGTCACACAGCAGACAGAGCAGGAAACTTAGTCATCATTTTCCTCAAGTTCAGGTGCTGGGGATTCATCCCAAGTCTTACCTGAAGCATCTTCATTGTTGACCCCTGCAAACGATGCTCCAGATCTGAGATGAGTTCTTTCAATGACTGGCTCTGCTGGACCAGCTCACTCTCAGCCTGTTCCAAGCAAAAAAGAACATATTCCTCCTCCTCCTCCAGTTTTTGCAGTTCCTTCTGTTCCTCACAGTACAGGAGGCCGTGCAGTTTTTTAAAACAATCCCGGACACTGTGGCTCTCATTTTGTATTTGATTCTTCAGGAATGAGAAAGACAGAGAAGGACTCAGACTATTAGGCAGAGACTGGGAGCCAGAAAAAGAAGTATTTGATTTGGAAGTTCTCTCAGGGAAGGGAGATGGAAGCAAGGGAACAATGCTTGGGGGGGCTGATTTTCCCTATTCTTTTTCATCACATTCTAAAATAATGGCCTTAAGTCTGCACTATTCAGGTCAACTCTCTACCAAAATAGGACACCTGGGTGTGGCTCACCTTTTTACACAGTTGTCCAGGACTGTCATGCTTCCTGCATTACTCCTGACCCCCATCCCCACCCTCAGCCAGACTTTCACTACCAGGGGACAGAGCTATGGAACATTGGCAATTGTCTTCCCCTGGAAGAGTTCAAAGCTTAAAATAATGACAAAAATGAACACAGAATTCACTAGCCATCCTAACCAGAAAGTCTCTCTATGAGAATCACTAATCTGAAAATATCTGTGTTAGTTTGTGACAGGTTCATTTTCAGCCCTGGCCCAGTCAGGATGAAGAATGGCTAATCAATGACTGGACATATCAACAGTCAGAGGCAAGGAGGAAGGGAGCTCCTCATGACTATGACCTAAGATTCAGCCTAGATTCTTGTGTAACTCCTTCAGGAAGAATCTCCCCATACCTCCCAGGAAGCTCTCTCTACTGTGATGTCATCTTTCAACTTCTCAGCTTTCTGCTGTTCCGCCCTCAGCCTGTCCAGAGCTGCCTGGAGCTTCTCCTATAAGGAAGCAATTATAAAGAGTTAAGCCTTGAGCTTTCGCAGCATCAAAATAGAGGACAAATGTGGAAGAAATCAGGCCAGTCTCTGTAGAGACTAGAGTTCACAGAAACTGAAACAATAATTACAATCTGTGACTTGAAAGAAACCTAATGTGGTATATGTGTTCTTTAAGATTCAGGTGATAAAGGCATTATTCTCATGTCAGGAGAAGACTGATTCTCTTTGTCCTACAAAGAGAAACCTGATCCTGTAGTAAGGAAAGAACTCAGGTCCCCATCCACCCAGCTGCCCACTTATCCCTCCTGTCCAAATGGGCAAAGGCAGCTGTGCTTAGACACCAACCTTCCACGTATTAGCACAAGTTATAAAAATATCTGCTTCTTGTTTTGAGCCTACTCATCATTTTGAAATTTTGTGAGATGCACTGAAATGTCATTCACTCTTTAAAAGATGAGCATAGGAAAGAGAGGTCACTGGTTTCAAGCCCGTGGTGGAAAGGTACTTAGAGTCAAATGCAAAGTAGAGATTTCCCATCAGGTATTATTTTCTGTCCTGTATTTCCTCCATCCTGTTACCTTGTACTCCTGGACAACCTCTTCCATGAGGAAAGTGTGGTGACCACGATGCTCTTGAGACCTCTCACAAAGCCAGCAAATGAACTTCCCATCCTCCTTACAGAAGAGCAGGAGTTTCTCTCCATGGTGCTCACAGAGATCTGTCTTTTGCTCCTCTTCTGGGTTTAACTTGACCTCCTTAAGCTTCTTCACTATGTTGGCAACATGCCAATTAGGCTGCAGATTCCCAGGCTGGTAACTGATTTGGCACACAGGGCAGCTGCTCTCCCCTTCTTGGCTTATCATAATTTCCTTGCTGTTTGCAGTGATGCAGGCTTGGCAGAAGGTATGCCTACAGTCCAGGCTCAGGGGTTCTGTCAGGAGCTCCAGGCAGATGGGGCAGGTCACCTCCTCCTTTATGTTTGCCAGGATTCCAGAAGCCATTACAGCTGCTCTCTTGCTCTTACTTGTCCTAAAGGCTGGTGTTCTCTTGCTAACAGATCCAGACCTGATAGGAAACGTTAAAAGGGACCAGAGTAAGAAAGGTAGGAATAAATGATGTTAATTGTTTAGAAATCAAAGTGGGCAGAAACCAAAATTGAAGGAAAGAATAATAGAAACAAGGGAACAAGTTTGGAAACCTGGTATAAAAGTTTAACATAATAATTTCAAACACTCTATTTCTGACTCTATTTGTCATCTCAAATGACAAATTCCAACCTTATATATGAAATTGTTGTTATTTTAAATTACTTTTACTGAATGAAACAATGACCTTGTTACAGTCTACAGGGGGTTCCTCCCCACCTAACTGTGTTTGTTTTGTCTGCCGCCTGAGGAAAGATGTCTCTTAATACCAGAGATCAGTGAAAAGGAAAGGAATTTATCATTCATTTGAAATAACACAAACTAAAGTTCCCCACAAATGCACACAGTCCTTCCAGCACGCTCCATGTGGCAAAAGGAACACTTCCAAAGCCTCGTGGTCCTGACTCTCACCCAAGCTGTATGGTCCCAACCAAGACACCAAAGCCACGTGGTCCTAAACAGATGTGTGGTCCCAAAAAAGAGAGACACCCAACGGCTGCTGTGCCTCCATTTAAATCCCAACACTAATCTTCCTCTGCAGCCTCATTTCTGGCTCCTCCCACAATTGGCCATAGCTGCCCGCATTCTGGGCAGGTGTGGCCCTGTGGTGTGGAGCCAATTATCTCCAAGCTCTTCTGGACCCTATTACAAATCCCTGTTTGGGGCTCCCCTCTTGGCTGCACCCTGTTACAACCTGAGGCCTTTTCTCTCAAGATCCTTTTGTGATCCACCTTCTCCCCTGCTACTTCTTTCCTAAGTCAGACACACCCTTAATGATAAAAGCACCAAATCACTTCTGTGTCTGGGTTTCCATACCAGCTCTTCTCTCAGCATGCAGTACTGGTATCAGTATGACTCACTCTCCTCCTGACATGTTTGTTTTTCAGAAAGGCCTTCTTTGATTTGCCTATTTACAGTTCAACCACTGTTATCACTTGTTGCACATTTACAACTTCTCTTATTATCATGACAGAATATGTGATAATATGTTTGCATATGTGATAAGAGTAAACTTTTTATCACATGTGTACATAGACATAGTAAGTGAATAACAAAAATCATTTATCTTCAATATACACTGTTGAAATGAACCTAATAAGTTGTAGGCCCCCTTCAATGATCTGTCCCTACTCCACTGGGTCTATTAGTGATGAACTGAGGTAACACCATTGACCCAATTAATAGCCAAAGTAATGGGGGAAAGGTTGCTGGTGAAGGGATACAGATCAGCTAGGAGGTTTTTGGAAGTCCTGTACTTATAAAAAATGAATATTCAAGCCCTGCCTGGCGTAGCTCAGTGGATTGAGCGCAGGCTGCAAACCAAAGCATTGCAGGTTCGATTCCCAGTCAAGGCACATGCCTGGATTGCAGGCCACGGCCCCCAGCAGTTGCACATTGATGTCTCTCTCTCTCTCTTTCTCCCTCCCTTCCTTCTCTAAAAAAAAATAAATAAATAAAATCTTTTAAAAAATTAAAAAAAAAAAGAATGAATATTCAGCTTAGCCTGGAAATATGCCAAGGACACTGATAGGGGACAAAAAATATGTATGTATTTGGATGGTGAGAAGAGAGATGGTATAAACATATTCACAGGATCACACCAGTCATATACCTAAAAATATGGAAACACAGATAAAATTAATGTCAGTCTTGAGAAAAGTCTCACAAATTTAGGAAAGATCACTCAACTAATTATCATTGATAATGGATTATATGCTAACAACTGGAGTTAAGCCATAAACACAAAGATGAGTCTAAACATATGCTTATACCACTAGGACCTTGATATTCACCTGGAAAGAACAGTAAATTAAATAATCAGGCATATAAATGCAAATGAGCTGATGTGAAATCACTACTAGAGAGATGTACATTTGTTAGGAAATCCAGTAATGGGAGAAGATAAAGGATTATCCAATAATTCCAACTTGAAAATACAAGGGTTGAATTAACCGCTTAAGAAGATGAAACTGAGGAAGAGAGAAAAATGTATTAGGTATAGGGAATGACCTGTTTGTGAAAGAGATATATCACTTCTTCTGAGTTTGGAAATGGCAGGGTAGCAGGTGTGCAGAAAACTGCCAGGTCTTTGATATCATACGAGCCTGTAGTGACCATGGTATATGGCATTTCCCTGATACATAATATTTAGGGACTCATTTTGAGGAGCAAAAACAAAAAATTATCTGTATTTTTTCACCAGAGAACACAGGGAACATAATTAGCTCTGAACTTTGTAGGCTGTGGAATGTTAGTTGGAGTAGTTGAAAGAGGGGTTCTATGGATAGTTACCTCATGGGATAATCTGATCATAAGTTCCTAATTGGACAAGTCACCCCCCAGGCATATAACTTCTTTACTCAAAGGATTATCTTTGCCTGAAGTGACCCTGTCCACTGTGCGGGTGCATTTAGGTTTAGCACACTTTTGAAATGACCCATTTTCAGTCCTCTTCAAAGAGTGATTACCCTCAAAAGAGCACATAATCTTTACTATCCTGTAATCCAATTTTTGCCTTTTTTCCCACTTTCATGTAATCCTTTTACTATCCCTCTTCATTCCAAATGCATAAAAGAAAGTGCAAACTGCTTTTCCGGAAGCATTTTCAAAACCTATTGAGATCTTGCTTCCAGGCACATCTTCTGTTTGGCTGGAACAAATTTTCATAAAAATTCTGTACAAGTTTTAACATTTACACTTTGGCAGTAGAATTTGGAAGATGAGTAGGATGCATGCACCATTGCCCAGGAGAGAGATGATGATAGATAGCTTTTAGGATAAGGAGATGAAAAAAAAATGGAGAGCAGGAGATGAGAGTGAGACATACCATGAGGTAAAAGGACAGGAAGGGAGTTAGATACATGGGAACAAAGGGTCAACATCAGGTCTGATCTCATATAAGGTGTATGTGACTCTTATATACAACTGCATTTTATTTAGGCCCCTAGAAGTTGTGCTTACAGGCTTTTACAAGATAATCAGTCCTTTGTAATTACTATACTTACATAAACAATATTTGTTTGGTTAGCAGTAAAAACAGTACCTGTTGTTAACCAGTAGAGTCAACCGGGACCTTAGTTCAGCAAACTTGGTACTTGAATTCTGGAAAACAATTCAGAATGAAAACTCAAATTATGAGGACAAGTTTGTTTAGAAACTAACAGAGATAGAAGTGATCCATAGAATGGGGCTCAGAAAACAAGTTACAGAGGCAAAAGTAGGGCCCTTGGAGCTTAGGGGGTGGGGAGAGAGAGACAGAGAGACAGACAGACAGACAGACAGACAGAGGGAGAGAAAGAGAGAGAAAGAGAATGTGTGTCTTGCTCAGTGAAAGAAGGGAGAAGAACAAAAGGTTCAGGCATTCTTGCGGGGGAGGGGGAGAGAGCTCTAGAAAACAAGAAGGTGAGGAAATCTTCAGTCTTGCTCCATAGAAAGTGAGCTTCACTGGATCCTCAGTTCTGAAAGCATGTATTTAAGGCTTTTTTCTGAATTCTCAGGGGAGGATCTCAATAGAGTATTCATCATCTTTCCCAGTGTGTCCTCCGGGTCATGTTTTCCACACATTGGTCAGCACTAGAGGAGAGGGGTCATTAGTCATTGCAGCTAGTCTTAATGCCAGCCATGGTGTCATTCCACCTGTACTTGCTGCCAATCCAGATCTGGACCTGAAACATACCTGAGCCCTAGATGTCATTTCCAGGGGTTAGAGAGTGGTCATGCAAGAGATTATAGTTTTGCCCATTACTAGGCAGCTAGGGCTCTCCACCTTTGTGACCCTCTGCACCTGACCCATCATTCCTACTCTGCTTGTGCCTGTCTAACTGCCTATTACTGTTTCACACATATCTACTAGTTTGGTTTCTTTTTTAAAAAAATGAGGTGACAGGAATAAAGTACCTCCTGTATCTATAAAAGATATCACTGAGAGCACACCTGAGGAACCATGCCAGGATAGGAGAACTATGTCTCCTATCCTGACAGTCTGTCTGTCCTAAGCAAGGTGGAGTCAAGAATGCAAACCAAAATTATTTTAGAGGATAATAAAGAATAAAAAAGCATGTATTTAAGAAAAAGGAGCTGCAGCCTAAAGACACAGATTCAGGTTGCAATGTTAGTTGTGTTTCCCTCTGCAAAGGGGAGGCCAAAATTTATAAGACCAAGTTCTGCCTAGTATTCTATCTAGGCAGAATTCTATCTAGGTCTGTTTTATGTAAATGAGATATCTAAATATAGTGGGGTTTGGTGTGGGGTTCTTCCCTGTACACAGAACAGGTGAGAAGCCCCCTGTCAGCAAATAACTTTATCATGGTCTAGTTAGGTTACATTACACATCCCCTTCTATTTCTTTACCTGTCATCCTAACTTCCCCACAACACACACTCCCTGCCTTTATGATCCTTAATCACTCAGGACAAATTTCATCATTTCCTTGAATACTCAACTCAAAATCATCTTCCTACACTGAGACTTAATCTGAAGTCTATTTAAAATTATAAAGATTTTTTACTAGTGTTTTATGAATACCTTCCCTGTAGCAGCCCTTTTGATTTATTATTGTTGTTCTTTCATTTTATATTTATAACATGGTAATTTTTATTTTGTTTTATAACACTTCTCCTTCTGCATGTTATTTTCTCTGTCATATCTGGATATATAATTTTTGTAGGTACTTAATATTTATTGTAGGTTCAATAGACGTTAATACAGTTTATACTAAGGTATATACACTTGTTCTTGTGATTTTAATAAAATATGTTCAACATTTATAAAAATTTTTTCTCCTGTATTTGGGACTTCTGATAACCTCTGTGGAGCCCATGAGTGTAGATCAGATATGGACATGGTACATGTGTAAGGCACAGACTCTAGACCTCTAAAAAGGAGGAGAAAAGGAAAATACACATCAAAACATATGTGAAAGAGATATCAAGGTACAACATGATCAAAGGTGAAATTAACATGGAGTTCTTTTGACTTTTAGTCCAGATGGCAGTGTAGGTATACACGGTGCTCACATCTCCCACAGGGGCATAAAAATTAAAACTAAACTACAGAACTACCGTCATTCAGAATTGCCTGAAATCTAGGTGAACAGAAGTTCAATAACTAAGACTGTAAAGAAGCAGCCACGTGGAGACTGGTATTAGGGGTGGAGATGCAGAATGGGCTGGTCCCACACCCACATGTGGCAGATAAAAATTGTGAGGAAATCTCAGCTTCAGAGGTCCCTTCTGAAGAACTGGGGGTCTTAGCCCCACACCAGAACTTTCAGCCCAGGGTTCCAGTACCAGGAAAAGAGTTCCCCATAACTGCTGGTTGTAAATAGCAGAAGAAATATTGGCTGATTGAGATGGAGGTTCCTGGAGTTCCAGGCTCTTCCTCTTAAAAGGGCCCATGCACAAACTTATTTGGACTCACTACCTCTGAGCGCCAGCATGGGGGCAGCAGCTCCAAAAGTGCCAGGAACATATGAGGAGGAACTGAATTGTCTTTCTTTCAGGATGAGGGGAGAAGGAGCAGGTTTCTCCCCAACAGAAGTTCTGGTAGAAGTTGCTGTTACTTTGCTGTGCCCTCACCTCACAGAGCTGGCAGATGGGTACCATATCTGAGTATCCATAAATGTGGCTAACACGTTCATCCAGCCCTGGTGATTCCCTGAAACCCCACCCAAAATAACTTTTGGCCCCACCCAACCTCATCCAGAGGCATTTCCATAGAAACAATCTGTATGGCTCATGCCACAGACTTTCCTGAAACTGCTCCAATGAGCAACATCTGACTTTTGTATACATTGTACCACTTGCAAAGATGACACAGTCCTGGCAAAAACACCACCTGGCCTTGGTTCACCATTTGAACTCTCTCAGGTACCTCTAGTCTAGCACAAGTAGCAGTCATCTGCAGATCTCTTTGTAGTTCATGCCAGATGGCCCATTGCAGGGCACAGGTAGCAGCTGATCTTGGCCAGTACCTGCCAAGAGGCCCCAGAGACAGTATACCCAGTGGATAGCTTCAGATCATGCTGAAGCACCAACCAACCACCTCCACAAGCAACACATTCAAGGATGCACTTGGTGGGTACCTGAGCCCTGCTCGAAAATGTCCTGCTAATGGGGTATCCCCAGCATAGCAAATTCTTCACAATAGTCAAAACCAGTCCTCCCATCCTACAGGCCTGGGACTAATCCCACCCACTGATGTTCCAACATCATTAAGGCTCAACTACAACAAGAGGAAACCCATAACTCACATGGAGGGTGCACCTATAGTGCTCAGCTCAGGTGACAGAGGAAGCTAAGCCACTGGGCCCTACAGGACTCCTACTCTGTGCGGCCACTCTACCAAGCCAGAGAGAGGTAGCAGCTCTGCCTAATACATAGAAACACACACATGGAGGCAATTGTAATGAGACAAGAAAACATATCACAGATAAAAGAACAGAACAGAACTCCAGAAAAAAGAGCTAAACAAAATGGAGATAAGGAATCTACTAAATGCAGAGTTCAAAACACTGGTTATAAGGTTGCTCAATGAACTTAGGGAAAGAATAGATGATCTCAATAAGAACTTAAAGAGATAGGACACACAAAAGGATACAGAAAACATAAAAAAAATGCAGTGAGAAAGGAAAAATACACTAAATAAAATAAGGAATACATTACAGGAAATCAATAGTAGAGTAGATGAAGCAGAGGATAAAATCAGTGATTTGGAAGTTTAAAAAAAGGAGAAAACACCTAATCAAAATAGCAAAATTAAAAAAAAATCCTAAAAAAGAGGATAGTGCAATATAAGGAACCTCTGGGACAACTTCAAGCTTAACAGCATTTGCATAATTGGAGAGCCAGAAAAGAAAAGATAAAGAAATTGAAAATCTATTTGAAAAAATAATGACTGGAAACTTCCTTAACCTGGTGAAGAAACTAGATGTACAAGTCTGGGAGCTCAGAGAGTCCCAACCAAGATGAACCCAAAGAGGCCCACACCAAGACACATCATAATTAAAATGCCAAATGTTAAAGACAAATAGAGAATCTTAAAGGAGCAAGAGAAATGCAGTTAACTACAGGCATGCTCCCATAAGACTGTCAGCTGATTTCTCAACAGAAACTTTACAGGCCAGAAGAGACTGGCATGGAATATTCATGCTAATGAAAAGCAAAAACCTATATCCCAGCAGATTCAACCCAGCAGAAAAATATTTTAGAATTGAAGGTCAGGTAAAGAGCTTCCCAGAAAAAAAAAAAAAGGTAAGGAAGTTCATCACAACCCAATCAATATTACAAGAAGTGAAAAAATTGTCTCCTTTAAGGAGAAGAATAAAAAGAAAAATTAGGAATAGTAAAATGGTAATAAATACATATCTATCAATAATTACTTTGAATGCAAATGGATTAAATGCTCCAATCAAAAGATATATGGTGACTGACCCTTACATACACTCTTTTCAAGGAACTCACTTCAGCTCAAAAGACATACACAGACTGAAAGGAAAATAAAAACAAACAAAAAGCTGTGGTAGCATTATTTCTACCAGGCAAAATAGACTTAAATATAAAAAGGCTATAAGAACTGGCAAAGAAGGATTCAATAATTCTACTTCTGTGTATTTATTTGAAAAATAACCCAAATAAATGGGTTAAACCCAAAACACTAAATCCAAAAGACATATACATCCATAAGTTTATTGCAGAATTATTTACAATAGCCAAGATACGGAAATGAACAAAGTATCCATCAAAAGATGAATGGATCAAGACATGGTACATATATATAATGAAATATAATTCAGCCATAATAAAAGTGAAATCTTTCCTTCTGCAACAATATGAATGGACCTACAGGGTATTTTACTGAGTGAAATAAGTCAGACAGAGAAAGACAAAAGCCAAATGATTTCACTTGCATGTGGAATCTAAAAAATAAATAAATACATAAATGAACAAGAAGAACAACAGCAGACTCAGAGATGCAGAGAACATTTCAATGGTTGCCAGATTGGAGGGGGGATGATGAGAAAAAAAGGTGAAGGGATTTAGAAGCACAAACTGGTAGTTACAGAATAGTCAAGGGGATATAAAGTACAACATAGAGAATATAGTCAACAGTTGTATTAACTATATATGGTGTCAGATAGGTACTAAAATTATCAGAGTGATCTCTTCTTTAGGTTATATAAATGTGTAATCATGAGGTTGTACCTTTGAAAGTAAATATCAAGTCTAAAAAATTTTTTAAATATTTTTTAAAGATTTTATTTATTTATTTTTAGGGAGAGAAAGGAGGAAGAAAGAGAGAGAAAGAGAGAGAGAGAGAGAGAGAGAGAGAGAGAGAAACATCAATGTGCGGTTGCTGGGGGTTATGACCTGCAACCCAGGAATGTACCCTGGCTGGGAATCGAACCTGGGACACTTTGGTTCCCAGCCTGCGCTCAATGCACTGAGCTACGCCAGCCAGGAAATTTTTTAAAATATTTTAAGACAAAGAATGGAGGGTTTTTTTTTCTCCCCAGAAAAATGACCAATTCTATATCTTAGCTTACTGCAAGGGAAAATTGAGTTAGAGGTTGAAGTAAGAAACAATGGAATAGTATGTCTAGATGATGAAGAAAAAGATCAAAATCAGAAAAGAACACCAGAGGGTGTTGGGGTGCACTGTGGTAAGAAAAAGCCATGACACTCAGGGGAGAACAAAGACACTGTGCCTGATTTCCAAAGACACAAGTGACCACATGAGAGCTACAGAAATGGTCAGCAACCTGATCTTCCAGGCTCTCTCATCAGGCTTGCCAAAGGTCTGACCTTTGTCAGGAAGGTTGTGCACAGCTTCCCGAAAGTTACCAGGACAAGAGTACAACAATAGCAATAAAAGGGGTGATTCCTGGAAAGTCCCTAAGACCCTGTCTCTCACACATGCATTCAGATAGTGGCTCTCATTTTAGCTGGCCCTACCAAGAGATTTTGTTTTATGAAGAAGGAAAACAGGGCTCCATCTCACAGACATCACTGGAAAAAAGATGAAGGGATTATCTGGCTGGGGGAAAATAGGTTATACTGTTTCACATTGGCAAGGTAGAAAGTCAAAACTACAGAACAGGCAAAAGATGATGAAAATAACACAGCCTGAAGAAATAATGGTCTCTCCAAGAAACAAATAAATCTCTGCTCTTTTAAACCTCACTTCTTTAAAGGTCACTCTTCCCCAGACTCAATGTTCCTCTTCTGCTACTTCAGCAAAAACACGCAAAAGCAAAGAAGCTCAGAACCACAATTACAGACACCAAATACATTCAATCTGTGTCCGCAAAGGCTCCTCTCTCTCCCCTCAGAAACTGGGCCACTTACATTCAGAAGTAGAGGAGCCTAAACTCAGTGGAGAAGATCAGGTGTAGGCCTGATTAAGATTCACTTACCAAAAGGATTCACTCACCAAGCCAGAGTTCAGCTTTCCACAGAGGAGTTCCTCACAGAAATGAAAGTTAAATTCATAGGAGAGGAAATGAAACAAACCAACCAAAAAAGCAGAACAGAAACTTAAGAACAATGTCACCTAATGGTACACTTGGGAAGTTAATGCCTCAGTTTGTTCTAGCACCTACATCAGCTGGGCACTCAATCACTGTTTTATTCCTTTGCAAATTATTCTAGTGAGAATATTTGAATAATAAGAATGAGAATTTTAATGATACATTCTACAGCTTGCCTGAATACTCAAAATTTTAATTCAATTCTGTAACTATTAGTTAAGCTTACCTTATGTTCATGTCCTAAACTATTTACTAAGAATGAAATCATGATTCAGAAAGCCTGGGTACTTGCCCGTCATAATACAGAGTGTGATAGGTGTTACAGCTCTGTTAGTTTGAGCTGAATGGTAGCAGCTGTCATTATGAAAGGTAAAAATGATATTTTCAAAAATATTTTTTTCTGAATAGAATCTATAAAGAGCTGCTATTTAGAAAAATTCTGAGCCTATTTAAAAAATGTTTCCACAACACAATTGAATATTTTTATTTTTCATTGATTGATTTTAGGGAGAGAGAAAGAGGGAGAGAAAGGAGAGAGAGAAACATTGATTTGTTGTTCCACATATTTATGCATTCATTGACTGCTTCATTTTCATGCCCTGACCAGAGATGGAACCCACAAACTTGGTGTATTGGGACAACATTATAACCAACTGAACTACCTGGTCAGGGCGATAGCATTGACTCTGGATCCACCAATTAATTATCAGTTTTTGTTCCTGACCTAGGCAGGCCAGGTGAGGAAACCTTCCTGACATAATGGCGGTACAATTGTGTCCACACATTATCAGCAACTAGGAGGCAGGAAGAACATGGAGGTTGACAGATGGTGCTCTTCAATTATAGTCTTTTGCTGGATAACACTCACACCTCCGTGATTGTTTAATTTCTCCACTTCCTGTGGGAAACATTTGTTCCTTTTTAAACCACTCACCAGAACCAGAACTGATAAAAATGAATAAAATGAAGGTACAACTAATGAATTTCATAGCACTACCTCTACAAGGCACCTACAAGCTCAGTACAGGTAACCACCAACCTCATATCTCTTTGTAGCCTCTACCAGGTGGTGCCTGGCAAGAAACAGGCAGTGGTTGACCTTGGCCTACACCAGAGCCCCTCCCAAGAGGCCCGAGAACCAACAAACATGGTAGCCAGATTCAAACCACAGTAGAGCACCAACCAATTAGTACCATAATTGACACAGCCAAAGAGTGGACTCAGCAGGCACTAGAGCCCACTAAAGTGAACCCCACCATGGAGTCAGCTTCTTCACTGTAGTAAATGCTGTTCCTCATAGCCACTCATTCTGAGGATCAATTTCATCCACCAACTTGCCAACAGCAATGCAACAGAAGAGGCATACAACCCACACAAGTGATACCGCTGGAGCACCCTACTGAGGTAAACAGGAATACTAAAGAACACCTACTACATAAGGCCACTCTGCCAAAATGGGGACACTTGGCAAATATACATAATACATAGATATAAACATCTACTAAACACTCTGCCTCTGCTAAAATGGGGAAGCAGCCAAAATAAAGACACAAAGAAACATGACCCAAATAAAATATCATGACAAAACTTCAAAAAGATAACTATACAAAATGGAAGCAAGCAATCTACCAGATGAAGAATTCTAAACACTTGTTATATAGAGGCTCACTGAACTTAGGGAAAGAATAGATGATCTCAGTGAGAACTTCAACAAAGAGACAGGAAACATAAAAAAAAAATAGCAAGCATAAAAAAAACAGTAAGAAATGAAAAATACAAAGACATAATCTGAAAAGCAGCAAGCAAAAGCAGTTAGTTACCTGTAAGAGGGATCCTGTAAGACTATCAGCTAATTTCTCAATGGAAATTTTTCAGGCAAGAAGAGATTAACATGAAACACTCAAGTGATGAAAAGCAAAGACCTATACCACCTAGATTAACCTAGCCAGAAAGACTATCATTTAAAATAGAAGGAGACATAAAGAGCTTCCCAGATAAGAAAAAGGTAGAGTTCATCATCACCAAACCAGTATTAAAAAACATGTTAAAGGGACTTAAGAAGAAGAGGAGGAAGATGGCAGCAGTGTAGATGGAAACTGAGCCCACTTGGCTTGTGCCCACAGCACAGATTTTGGCTGATCATCTGACAAGTGACCTGAACAATCAATGGAGTATCAGCTGAAAATGAATTTTTGAAGCCAAGGAGTACAGAGGATACTTTTTACCACCTAATACATGATTTTATAAGTTGAAGGGGAAATACCCTAAGTGAGATGCCTATAGCCAGAGAGACCAGATGGAAAATGCAGCTTAGTTTCTCCCTCCATTCCTGGAGCAGGAGGCCCAAGTCCTGCACAAGGAACCCCCATCCCTAATCAGGAGAGACTTGGGAAGATGCACAGAGTCTGAGAGACTCAGGCTGCATGTACACAGCAAGCAGCATGACCATAGTTGCAGCATCAACCAAGAGAGTTCCAGAGAGAAATTCTATCTTCTAAAACTGTCAGAGGCACTGGCAGGCTGGCTCAGCAAGGGGTATTTAGGGTCCTACCCAGACTCAGCTTTATACAGAGCTGCCATCAGCAGCAAGAAGGAAAGAGCTAATCTGTTTACAAAGATTAGCCACTCACATGAAACAGAAAGTTAATTCATCAGAACTACAATATTGTAAATAACCTGGGACAGACCAAGACATGTGGGGCATGAGTGGGAGAACACACCCACTATCTTCCCCGAAGACTGAGCAGCATCTCCCAGGGGAGAACCAGGGTTTCCACCCTCCCAATCACACCAGAAGCCCACTCTAGAGGCAGGTGGAGGTGTTATATGCGGTGCCATCAGACATTAAATGAACCATCCCTAGGCCTCATGCTGATGTAAAGCTAGCAGGGCAGAACAGTGAGGACAAGTCAAGCCTGAAGGACAAAGCCTAAAACTGTGAATCACTTGTAGCCTTGAATAGGCTGCCTAAAACTAGAGTGGGACCTCATCTGATGTTACCAAAGATGGCTCCAGAAGGAGAAAACAGTAGGCAAATATTAGACACTGCTGAGGTGAATTCCACCTTGTTCTTTTTCATTATTTGCATTATTTTTTCTCCTGCATACATTTCTAACATTTTTTCTTCAATTTTGTTCTTACTATTTTACTTTTTATTTTAGTTTTATTCAAAATCTCATATTTTACTCTTCCTTTCTCTTATTTTATTTTGATTTCTTCCTTCCTTTTCTTATTTTCATTTTTTAAAAGATTTATTTATTTATTTTTAGAGAGAGAAAAAGGGAGGGAGAGAAGGAGAGAAACATCAATGTGTGGTTTCCTCTCATGTGCCCTCTACTGGGGATCTGGCCTGCAACCCAGGCATGTGCCCTGACTGGGAATCAAACCAGTGATCCTTTGGTTCACAGGCTGGTACTCAATCCACTGAGCCACACAAGCCAGGGCTTTATTTTCATTTAAAATTTTATTTTTCCCTTCTAAAACCTTGTTCCTATTTCTCTTCCCTCTATTCTCTCAAAATCATTTTTTTCCATTAGTCATCTCACATTGTTTCCCCTTTGTTATAATATCCTCATTCTCTTTCCACTTTATTAATCTTTGCTTGTTTGTCATTGAGAGTATGGTTGTATAGCTATTGTTACATTTATCCCATTTTATTCCCAGGTGTTCACATTGTTTTATTTCAAATCTCATATTTTAACTGTTCCCCCTCCTACTTCATTTTGCCTCCATCCTGCCCTTTCTGCTTCTTTCTTTAAAGTGTATTTTATTGATTATGCTATTACAGTTTTTCCAATTTTTCCCACTTTATGCCCCCTCTGCCCTACACCCCTCAACCCTCCAGCATTCACTCTGTTAGTTCATGTCCATAGGTTGTACATATAAATTTTTTGAATTCTCTGTTTCCTATGCCATTCTTAACCTCTCCCTGTATATTTTATGCCTACAAATTATGCTTCTTAGTCCCTGCACATTTTCCCCACTATTTCTCCCCTCTCCCTCCCACTGAAACCCCTCCATGTGATATCATTTCTATGATTCTGTTCCTGTTCTAGTTGTTCACTTAGTTTTTGTTTTCATTGTTTTTCTTTTTTTAGGTTCAATTGTTGATAGTTGTGACTTTGTTGTCATTTTACTGTTCATAGTTTTGATCTTCTTTTTCTTAGATAAGTCCCTTTAACATTTCATATAAGGACTTGGTGATGATGAATTCCTTTAACTTGACCTTATGTGGGAAGCACTTTATCTGCCCTTCCATTCTAAATGATAGCTTTGCTGATAGAGAAATCTTGGATATAGGTCTTTGCCTTTCATGACTTTGAATACTTCTTTCCAGCCCCTTCCTGCCTGCAAGATTTCTTTTGAGAAATCAGCTGATAGTCTTATGGGCACTCCTTTGTAAGTAACTCTCTTCTTTTCTCTTGCTACTTTTTAGATTCTTTCTTTATCTTTAATCTTGGGTAACTTAATGATAATGTGCCTCAGTGTGTTCCTCTTTGGGTCCAACTTCTTTGGGACTCTCTGAGCTTCCTGGACTTCCTGGAAGTCTATTTCCTTTGCCAGACTGGGGAAGATTTTCTTCATTATTTGTTCAAATAAGCTTTCAATTTCTTGCTATTGTTCTTCTCTTTCTGGCACCACTATTATTCAGATATCAGAATGTTTAAAGTTATCCCAGAGGTTCCTAACCCTCTCCTTATTTTTTTGAATTCTTGTTTCTTTATTCTGTTCCAGTTGGATGTTTATTTCTTCCTTTTGTTCCAAATTGTTATTAGAGTCCTGGTTTCCTTCGTGTCATTGTTAGTTCCCTGAATATTTTGCTTTATTTCACTTTGGGTGTCCTTCATTTGTTCTTTGATTTTGGAACCAAGCTCAATTAGTTCTGTGAGCATTTTGATTACTAGTGTTTTGAACTCTGTATCTGATAGGTTGGCTATCTCCTCATCGCTTAGCTCTTTCTCTGGAGTTTTGCTGTGTTCTTTCACTTGGGCCATATTTCTTTGTCTTGGCATTAAGTTCTAAGGGGGCAGAGCCTTAGGT